AGTGATAATGTGCATACAGACACACACAGATACATGATTATTCTTATTAGAAAAGGAGAAAAGGTTTGCAACTGAATAAAGCAAACTGCTAATTCTAGGAGAAAGAATTGGAAGTTCAAAGGGAGGTTTAATCCTTAATAGAAATTTTTCCTTGCTTTATGAAATATGAGTGATTTTATTTCATTTTTGTTCTTTTATTTGTTTTCCAGTAATTTTAATTTCAGAAGGGTCATAAGAGAGATAAATGCGTAAACTTTTGGAAGAGATTGTTATTGTTGTTAGGTGCCATCAAATAGGCTCCAACGCATAACAACCCTATGTACAACAGACGAAACACTGTTTGGTCCTGCGCTATCCTCACAATCCTTGTTACACCTGAGCCCATCATTACAGCCACTGTGTCAATCCATCTTGTTGAGGGCCTTCCCCTTTTTTGTTGACCCTCTACTTTACCAAGCATGATGTTTTTCTCCAAGGAATGGTCTCTTCTGACCAAAGTAGGAGAGATGAAGTCTGGCCATTCTTGCTTCAAAGGAGCATTCTGGCTGCACTTTGTCCAGGACAGATTTGTTAGTTTTTTGGCAGTCCACGGTACTTTCAGCATTCTTCACCGACACCACACTCAAAAGCATTGACTATTCTTTGGTCTTCCTTGTTCATTGTCCAGCTCTCACATGGATAAGAGGCAACTAAAAACACTATGGCTTGGGTTAGGTGTACCCTAGTCTTCAAGGAGACATCTTTGCTCTTCAGCACTTGAAAGAGGTCTTTTGCAGCAGATTTGCTCAATGCAATGCATCGTCTGATGTCTTGACTACTGCTTCCATTGATGTTGATTGAGGAACCAAGTAATATGAAATTTTTGACAATTTCAATCTTTTCTCCATTTATTGTGATACTGCTTGTTTTTCCAGTTGTGAGGATTTTGTTTTATGTTGATGTGTAATCTATATTGCAGATTGTAGTGTTTAATCTTCATCAATAAGTGCTTCAAGTCATCTTCACTTTCAGCAAGCAAAGTTGTGTCATCTGCATATTGCAGGATGTTAGTGAGTCTTTCTCCGATGCTGATGCCATGTTCTTCTTCGTATAGTCCAGCTTCTCTGATTATATTTGCTCAGCATACATATTGGATAAGTATGGTGAAATGATACAACCCTGATTTTAAACCAGGAAGTATTTCCTTGTTTGTTTGAACAACAGCCTCTTGGTCGATTTACAGGTTCCTCATGAGTATAGTTAAGTGTTCTGGAATTCCCATTCTTCTCAATGTTATCCATAATTTGTTATGATTCACACAATCAAATGCTTTTCCATAGTGAATATGATAGAGGCAAAATAATATGGGAGGAGAAAACTTACAAAATTCTTTCATTCCTTCATTAAGTAAGACCTCTTCTAGGTGGGAGGAGGGCATGTTTGAGGAATCACAGGCAATTGGTTTTGTTTTTTAACTCACAATTCAGATTTTATTTTGCCTAGTGTTGTTGTGAAGTGCCATGGTGTAGATTTGCAACTCATAGAGAGCCAGTGTGATGTAGAACTATCTCTTAGGGGTTGCTAGGCTACAGTCTTTATGGAAGCAGGTCACCAGGTCTTTTCTCCTGTGGAGCCAGTGCTAATTCTGAACCACCACCTTTTTGGTTTGTAGCCTAGCACTTAGCTGTTGCACCATGAAGTCTCTTCTTGTTACTGTATTACAAGTTAAAGGAAGAAAGCAGTTGTTCTGAGCTATAGAACAGGGCTAGAAAGAACAAGGAGTGGCAAGAAAGCTGGGTAAGAGAAGATATCGGGGGTTAGATGAGGAAAAAAAGAGACGTGTCTACTGTTAGATATTGTTGTTAGGTGACATACAGTCATTTCCCAACTCACAGTGACACCATGCACAAAGGAAGGAAACACTGCCTGGCCTTGTGCCATCACCAAGATTAGTCGCAGATTGCGTCATTGTGATCCATAGGGTTGTTATTGGCTGATTTTTCAAAATAGATTACCAGGCATTTCTTCCTAGTCTGTCTTCTGTGGAAGTTCTATTGAAATCTGTTCAGCATCAAAGCAGCACACAAGCCTCCACAGATAGATAAATGGCTGGTGACTGTGCATGAGATGCACTGGAGACAGATAAAGTGAATTCTCTTCTTCATTTTTTCTATATGAGCATCAGTATCATACCCAGTTCTTTAAAAAAAAAATATATATATATATTGCATTGTAGGTAGATGTTTACACAGAAAATTTTATTCTCATTCAACTATCCATAGGCAAATTGTTCCACGACATTTTTCATAATCCCTACAATGTATCAGGTCTCTCCTCATCTACACTAACCTGACCAATTTTCATCCATTGAGTTACCTTGCCTCTCCTTGCCTTGTACCTTTGATTTTGGGCAAATCTGGACCATTTGGTCTCATGTAGTTGATTGTTTAAAGGAACATATTAATCATAGATGTTATTGTTTACTTTATAGGCCAATTTATTATTTAGCAGAAAAGTGACCTCTGGTTAAAATGGTTTCTTAGGGCAGTACCCTCAGTGGTTCCTGCCATCTCTATCAGTCCAATAAGCCTGGTCTTTTAATTTTTTTTATTTTGCACTGGGTGCAAATTTACAAAGAAAATTCATTTTACATTCAACAGTTCATGCACATTTGATTGGACACCCTGATTACCATCTCCAACCATAAAAAAAAACTCTCCTCCCCTCCTGCCCCTGTGACTACCCCCTCCGTGTGCCTTTTGACGATGCTTTTCTGTCTCTTCAGCTTTCCCTCTATGTGAATGCTGCCTCTCTTGTGTCTCATGGATGATTGCTCTAAGAGGTTCATTTCCCTAGAGTAGGTGGGTGCATCACCCTGGGGTAGGTGTTCCGTGTGTAGGTCTTTCTACTGTTGGGCTGAGAGCCAATCCACGGAAGTGAGTCCATATCTGGGCCCGAAGGGTAACCTGGGACCATAGTCTTGAAGGTTCCAAGTCTGGTCTTTTTTTGGATCTTAGTTTTGTCCTACAATCTTCTCCCATTCTAACCAGGACCTTCTATTGTGTCCTTGGTTAGATCAGTCAGTAGTGGTAGCTGGGTACTAACTTGTTCTTTTGGTCTCAGGCAGCTGGATACTAACTTGTTCTTCTGGTCTCAGGCTAGAGAAGGCTGTGTTTCCTGTGGGCCGTTGGTCTTATGGACTAATTTCTTCATTGACTGTTTTCCTTCATTCTCCTTTGTTCCAGAGGGGAAGAGACTAATAGTTGCATCTTAGGTGGTTGTTCACAAGCTTTCAAGACCCCAGGAGCTACTCCCCAAACTGTAGAACATTATATTTATGAAGTAAATTCATAAAGACCATGAGAATAGGTCATCAGCCTTCAAACCCATTAATCCCATGTGGTGTTTGCATATGTATAAGAAGTATCTCTAACTATGCCCCCATGTGCTTTAATGTCTATATGAATATGTATGTGGCACATACTAACATGTGTGTACACATGTCCACAAATATATATGCACACTCATGTATTCCCATATAAATTCTCACATCCATATATATGTACCTTTGTAACTATTCATGTATTGTTTCTTTTTAACTTCTTATTTCTGTTGTTGCAAGACCATATAATCATAGCATTTACCATAATTGTCCTTTATTCTTGCATACATCTCAGTGTCCTCATTTACCTTGGTCAAGTTGCGCTCACTTCCCTCATACTGCATATTGCCTTTCCCTTCACCACAGTTATCAGGTGTCTACTATCTAGTTTCCCACTTCTTTTTCATTAGATTTCTTTAGAAAATGTAACAAAACATACATAAGATGGAAACAAGTAAGAGCTGAGGGCCAACCACGGAGTAGCTACATATCTGGCTCACAGAGGTATTGCTCTTTTCATTAATTTGAATAACTCATCAAAATTTGAATATGCTTTAAAATAGTGTTGTGAACATATCCTCAGGGAAGAGAGAAGTAAAAACCACGAATAAATAGAGGTTTATGTGTGAAATGTACTCCCTTGAGTGAGTCAAACAGATACAATTATGGAATCTATCCTTTGATTGCTTCAGAAGCACTCATCTTTACTTTCCTGAGCAAGACAAAACCATAGAGCCATAAAGAAATAGCCCCAACTTGTAACAGTTGTTATTATAAGTGAATAAGCAAATTATTTGTTGGATGGCAATTTTAATGTAGAAATCATGGTGGAATGATAAGGGATCAATTAAGAACATTGTAGACAGAGTAGAAAGAAATTGTTTTGGAAGGCTAGGATGGCTGTAATAAGTGAATGATGACTTGAGACCCAATTCCTGAGCTTGCTGGATTTAACAAGTTCCTAAAATCAGGGGACAACAGTCTTCAGAATCTTGGTCTTAGCAGAATCACTGATTGCATCGATCACCAGCACAGTGAGAGCATACAACCTTTTGGGGATATTTAATATTATGCAGTAGTTTGCAAAAATTGTGTAAAATATAAGTCTCATCATACTTGTTTTACTTCGGAATTTTTTTCTAGAAAAGAAAAACATTTCGTTCATTCAGGAAATTTTCCTTTTAGAGAAAACTACTTTAATTTGCCAGTGAAGTCAGAATGCAGGAGCCAATTACAGATAGGAATCCAACAAGACAGGGCATGAATTATGTTGTATTATTAATTCACACTTGCCTTGTTGAAGTGTGTCTGAATTGGAGTTCTATATAATGACTGTAAAATGATTTCCTTTAGACAAATATATTTATGTAAGATGTTTACTAAGGTGTATCCTTATTATTCAATTAATTTTCTTTCTCTACTTAATTTAATGTTAACTCACATGTCTTGTTTCATATGTAGTGACAATGAATTAATCTATGCAGAAATTTCAAGGAATTCGCATCACATGGCATACCTGCTTTCAGCTCCCAAACTGCTTGGATATTAGCAAACAACCCATTCTGTCATTCTAAAATAGAATTTGTTTATTTTTTTGGAATTTGGAAAAGTACTAAGGAGAAATGCAATTTTACCATACCCGGCCTCTTAGCAGCTCATATGCTGTCACACCCAGGGACCACCAGTCAATGGCAAAGGAATAGCCAGTTTCTCTTCTGGAATTGAACATCTCAGGTGCTGAAAACACAAAGTTAGGCCAAATTTACTCAAGACGTTAACAAATCTCTTTTCCCAATATGTGCCCCCAAAGGAGAATTGCTAAGGTAAAGAGCATAATCACTTTCATGGATGTTTATCAACCATTGCTGGATTGCTCACAGCAGGCTAAAACTTCTAATTTCCTAATCTTTCTCAGTAGTCTCTATCATCAACAAACACACTCATGCATACATAGGTCTTCATGTACATATTCTAATTTAGATCTATATTCTTAAAATCTGAAACAAATTGAGTCCCATCAGGCCCCATGAATACTGCTGACCCTGAAATCTAGGTTGTTTTGATTTGGAAGGTTTGTATTATAGGGTCTAAATTTTTAGTGTGGTTGCAAACTGCACTCACAAGTGTACTTTGGACTGGTTCTACAACATGGAGTCACCTGTGAGAAGCAAGGGCAGCATGGAAACAATTAGTCCAAGGGACTAGTGGGCCACATAAACCTCTGCCTCCATGACCCTGAAACCAGAAGAACTAGATGGTGTCTGGCTACCACTGGCAACAACTCTGAAAGGGATCACAATGGGAGATCCTTAATAGAATAGGACAAAAATGTGCAAACTCAAAATAATAATAATAATTTTAAAAAGACAAAGCTTACTGGTCTGAAAGAGAATTGTGGAAACCTCTCTCCCATCTCTCAGACTATGTTGTTGTTGTTATGTGCCGTCGAGTCGGCCCCGACTCATAGTGACCCCTCCTTGGGTTTCCAAGGCAGTATCACTACAGAAGTAGGATTGCCCAACCTTCCTTCCGAGGAGTGGCTGGTGGGTTTGAACCACCAGCCTTCTGGTTAGCAGTCAAGTGCCTTAGGCACTATGCTACCAGAGCTCCTATTAGACTATGGCCTTTACTTATACTTCAAGCATGGAAATGAATTCACCCCCATAGCTCAACTTTTAGTCAAACAATAGACAGACTTATGAGGTAAACAATAACACCAGGGAGGTACACCCTCCTTAGATCAACCATAAGAGATTAAAAGAGTAGCATTTGCCCAGGATTAAAGCTCAGAAGGCAGGAAGGGGTAAGAAAGAAGGGCAACATGAACTGGTAACCACAGGGAGGAAGTGGGAAAAGTGCTGTTAAATTGTGGGGATTGCAATCAATGTCACAAAATAAAATTGCATGAACTGTTGAATGGAAAATTAATTTGCTCTGTAAACTTTCACACAAATCACAATAAAAATTAAAAATGTAAAAAGAAGAAGCAAGGGCAGCACCTGCAGCACTCTATTGGATAAGGGAGGGAGAGGAGAGGGAGTGGGTGTTCGGGGAAATATGAGGCTGTACAACAACTACAGGGCATTTACACTTTATAACCACAGTTGCCTGAAGTGACTCTAATGGAAGGCAGAGCTACAAGTCAATTTTTACCCCTAGACATGACCCCCCAGCTCCATTTATGCATTCTCTAAGTACATTGACACATTGTCTTCAGTAAAACCTTCTACATATTCTTCCAATCACAATCCCAACTCCTAAGAGGTATAATAAGTGAGAATGAAGTACTAAGAAAGTACTATGAAAGTCGCCTTTCATGCATCACTGCATTCTTCCTGCGAATCTCAGCTCCCAATGCAATTTGAGAGATAATGGCCCTGGCCCCACAATTCCAACCACAGATTGAATGGGATGGACTACATTTACGCTTTTCCTTATCCACGTCTCACAGCAACTCATCTCAAATAGTCCCCCAGGTAACAGAATTCTCACTCAGAGAAGCTGCAGAGACCTTTTAGGGATCTAGTTTGCCTGTTCACCACTACATTCAAGTATCTAGTATAGAAACTGTCAGTCTGAGTCACTGAACAAAGAGTTGTTGAATGAACAAACAAATAAATCAATTAACCAAGCAAAGGGTTGTGATCATTAGTTCTGGAGCCACTCTGCCTGGGTTTAAATCCTTCTTTCAACACTTACTGTGACTGGCTTACAAGTCACTTGGCTGAGCCTGAGAACCTCAGTGAAATGAGAATAATAAGAAGGCAATCTTTTTGCATTTGAGAAATTAAATGAGAAAATGTACCAAAACCTCAAAACTTGATGCCAAGATTCTACAGTAAGGTGCTGACTCTGGGCAAAGGACATTGGGATGACTTGACAACTGACTTGCACACAGACTTGCATGCAGATTATACATCTGTGTCCTGTCCATGGCATCAAGTTCTTTTTAAGGAAAACACTGTGGACATTAGAGAGGTAGAATGTTGACCTACCAATACTCTGGACTGACCCTGATTCTAAGAGCTTGCTGTAGCAGGACTAAGAGTGCTTCCTTCCCTGATAAAATCGCCTTTCATGCATCACTGCATCCTTCCTGTGAATCTCAGCTCCCAATGCAATTTGAGAGATAATGGCCCTGGCCCCACAATTCTAACCACAGACAGAATGGGATGGACTAAATTTACACTTTTCCTTATCCACATCTCACAGCAACTCATTTCAAATAGTCGCCCAGGTAACAGAACTCTCACTCAGAGAAGCTGCAGAGAACTTTAGGCATAAAAAGACACAATGTGCTAACAAACACCTGATAGAATGAACATCAGTTTGTAAAAACTAGGCATCCAGTCACTTTTGATCAGCTTTGGAGTTTGGCTGAGTATTCTTTTTCTCATCTTCTACTTTCTCTGTTTTCAAGCTGAAAGACATTTGGATATGCATTCATTCACTCAGCAAACATTTGTGGTGTGCTGGGCACTGAGGAATTTGGTAGAAATTTAAGAAAAATATCATAACAACATACTAAAGTGTAACAGATGGATAATTCTTCGAGCACCAAGTAGCTTTAAAACCAGAGCATGAATCAGAAGGCAGGAAGGGATAGGAAAAAATGACTGATGCAAATGGTAAACACAGGGAGGAAGTGGGAAGAGTGTTATTACATTGCAGGGATTGCAATCAAGTCACAAAACAAAATGTGTATGAACTGTTGAATGGAAAACCAATTTGCTCTGTTAACTTCCATCCAAATTACAATAAAAAGTTAAAAAAACAACAAAAAAAAACAAAAAACAGAGCATGAAGATATTGAGGGACTTTCATCTACCTTTCAGGAAGGTCCCTTACTTCTGAAAGGCTACAAATAGAGTTGGAGAAAGATGCCATTTCCTTAGAAAAAAGGCTTTCAGTATTTTTGTTTGTTCCAAGTATTTTTATGCATACATTCAGAAAAGTATATAAAATATGAAAAAAAAAGTAATAAACAGTTATAAGGAAATGATCATATAACCATTATACTGGTCAAGAAATAGAATCTTGCCCCACCACTGGGTCTTTTTCTGATCAAAGTCCTCTTCATCACCCTGAGAAGTAACCACTGTCCTGAATTTTTGTGACATGTTTATTATTTATGTATGCATTTCTAAATAATAGTTTAGTTTTGACTATTTCAGTTACAAGTATACATGTGTGTGTGTGTATTTATACACACACACACATACATATATGGAGAGAAAGAGAGAATGGACCCCTGGAGGGACAGTGGTTGAGCACTTGGCTATTAACCAAAATAGCCTTAGGCACTACACTACCAGAGCTCCTATCTATATAGATAGATATAGACATATAAATATAGAGAAAGAGAGAAATGTTGCTCAACATCCTTATCTGCATTTGATATCAACTAATCTTTTGATTTTTGCCAACCTGATGAGTGTATAATATTTCATTATAGTTTTTATTGGCATTCTCCTCATTACTAAAGAGCTTAACCACTTTTAATATATTTATGGACTACTTTGAATTCCATCAGTTACTTTTCTTATTTTTTTAAAAAAAACTAGACAGTAGATTCAGGAGTTCTGGTAGTGTAGTGCCTAAGGCACTTGACTGCTAACCAGAAGGCTGGCAGTTCAAACCCACCTGACACTCCTCGGAAGGAAGGTTGTGCAATTTACTTCCGTAGTGATACTGCCTCGGAAATCCAAGGAGGGGATGAGTCAGCCCAACTCGATGGCACATAACAACAACAACAACAAGATAGCAGATTCTAGTCAAGACATAAAGAAAGGATCTCAACTTCTTCTATAAATGTAATGTAATAGAACTTTTTCAAGGAAGTTTATAAAAATGATTCTAAAATTCATTCTTAAGAATAAATGCAAATAATGAAAGTATTTTCTGAAAAAGAATAAGGAAAGAGACTTGCATATCCATGTATTAAACTACATTATAAAGCTACAATAATCAACATTTGAGAGCAACAGAATATAAATGCTAATATATATAGGCATTTCATTTATGATGCACTTATTTCATTTCAGCATGGAAAGGGTCATATTCAATACAGACTTCCAGAACATTTATTTAATGAGCTCTGGTAGCATAGTGCCTAAGGCACTTAACTGCTAACCAGAAGGCTGGCGGTTCAAACCCACCAGCCACTCCTCGGAAGGAAGGTTGGGCAATCTACTTTCATAGTGATACTGCCTCGGAAACCCAAGGAGGGGTCGCCATGAGTTGGGTCCAACTCAACGGCACATAACAACAACAACAACAACAACAAAAATGAAAGTTAGATATTAATATATATTTCCAGTCAAAATAAATTACAGCTAGACTAAGTAAAAAGTGAAACCATAACAATAATAAATTATAAATATATATATAAAATTTGGAGTTTAGAAGGTCTTACTAAATATGGTACCAAAGGTAGGAACTATAAAGCAAAAATGAGTAAATAGTATGATGATGTTAAAAAATAGTTCTTCGTGTCAAAAAATGGCATAAAAGCAAAAGAAAACTAAAAATCTGGAAATCATGTTTGTAACAAATATAATACACAAGTATTTAATATTCTTAAAATATAAAGAGCAACAATTCTTTATACAATCGATAAGAATGATATCTACAGGAAAAAATATTAACAGCCTAAAAGCAAAATAGGCAAAGAACTTCCAGGCCTGTCCCATAAAGCCATCCTCTCCCTACCTCCGGGTTAAGTGTAAGGGACTCCG